ACAAAGGCAAACATTTCTGCTCTGCATTTAGACCCCACCTTTACATCTTGATGGTATCTATTTGACGGCCGACCGACGCATCTAAAGTAGTTGATCGGCCTAAACTGGATGGATCGCGCAACTGCGATACGGGTATGTGTGTGCAAGGCTAAAGGTAGCTCCCTTTTTTTGCTTCTCCCATCTTATAACGTGTTGAGTACCATAGGAAATCACAGTTTGTGCAGATAAAAAATCAATTAGTGAGGGGAGTAAAGCATTTATTGTGCATCACAGTGAAGTGTATCCTAACTCTCACCCAACCAGTGACTGTGGCCTACCACAAAGAGCCATCGGTTTATTTTTTTCAACATGGCCTTGTAATTGATTGGTGGTGTTCTCAAATGGACGAGTGATGGGTATAAATGTGTATTACAATCACATTTGCGATTAAGCCGCGGCTTAATCGCAGTTTGGCGCCTGGCGACTAGCAGTGGTCTACAATGTAATATGGCTACTATCGTTCGATTTGCTCGCCTTAATACACACAGTACAAACAGATGAACCTAGACCCAAGTCGAGGAAACGAATATTACCACGACAAATAATGAATGGATTCACAGCGTGAATTTGGAGAAGTAATAAGGGCATATGTGAGAGTATGAAAATACTGTTGACAGCCCAACTATTTAGAATCAAATGTGGACTGCTAATCGGCATTACTACCGCATCTGGCGGGTATACATTGGGGCCTTGCGGGGGAACATAGCCTTGAGCACACCATCCTTGTAATCGAACGTGTATTTTTCCCGGTCAAAGCCCTCAGGAATGGCCATATGGCGGCTGAACACCTTGGCATCGTGCTTCGTCCGCACAAACAGCACATACTTGGTCGCCTGCGGACGATCAATGGCCCAAATTTCCAGACCGTGGTCGTTGGCTGCGTGGTGCACCTCGGCTGGTTGGCGGCTCGGGGGCCAACGCATGGTCACTATCAGACCCTGAGCAGTGGTGTTGACGTCAGTGCTGATAGGTGCCAGAACGTTGGAGCTGATTTCGGTGGCCCACTCAAACTTGCCGTGGCGCTGCGGGGACTGATCGTGGGCTGATTCGTTGCAGGGCGCCATAATCCACTCTGACGGTGGTGAGCGGGGATGCGCTGCCGTCAACCATGGTGAGGTCGAGGGAAGCTGCTTGGTGTTGTCATCGCACAGTGGGCAGTCGTTGCCCATGAAACCTGCCGGGGGACCTGGCGCACGAAGCCAGCCCTGCGCCCGGGGGGAGTGTGAGGAGGCAGAGCTCGAGAAAAACGACATGGCAGGTTTGGAAGTCGATACAGATGCCAAAGGGGGTAGAACTGGGGCTGGTGAGAGGGCAGTGCTGATGCTGGCCTTTTATAGACAGTGATAATTCGAGGCTTGGTTTGCTTTACAACACAGGATTGGGCAAGTCTCGGTGAACTGGGGCTGTCGTAGAGAACAAAAAGGATGAAAATACCTGCAAACAATCTGCTCACCTGGTCGCATATGTGTTCCCTTTTCCAAGTGTGTATGATCGCCCTGTGGCCATGATCAGGCCCTGATTCATTGTTTATCTGGCAGGTATTAGCTGGCAAAGCGGCACCTGAGCCAACGCATCGGGTGAATGAGCTGCGGCCGTGCTTGGTTCAGCCGTGAAAGCCCAGCGCTCAGGACTAACAGAGGCATGCCCTTGCTGTTGCTGGTGGTCTCTGACAAATGCTGTTGGTTGCTTTCGTGTGTCCTTGCCTCAAACGCAGTGTCCCAGGGCCACGACTTTGTCCTGCCGCAGCCACGTCCACTAAACAAAAAAATAGGAAGAACGCAGCTAGCTGGCCCCTGGTGGTTTTTTTTCGGTGGTCCTTGTGCACATGAAAGCAGTGTCACTCAGGACTAATTGGGGAATAGTGGAAAAGCGTTTCATGCCTGGTCATGCTGCGCCTCCCTTTTCCCACACACATGCCTGGTCAAAGGGCGTGTCATCGTGTTATTCATGGAATCGCAGCCATCCCCACCTAGCGGTTAATCAGTATTTCGTTCCAACTTTTTTCAGCAAAGAATTTCGCAGCAAAGTCCTGCATGGGGAGCTAGGTCCTTATACGATGCTCCAGGTTGGCCCACATGACAGGTGGGCCATTTGCATTCAATACGTTTAAAGCCAAGGCTATTAGTAGAAGGTATGCCATGGTTAATATATCAACCAATGCCAGTCACGCTTTCATCATGCACAAACTCGTTCGCGATTAGCTCTACACTGCTCTAGCCATTTTGCAGATACCCAGGCATATGGTCAGAATCGGTATGTCACTCACACGTTCAGCTATACTTTTTTTTCCTAAATTGATTTGCACCAACTAGATTAATAGTGATGGTTAATAGCATTGTGGTTTCAAATGACGCAAGGCCATTATGGGGTCTGATTCGTTTAAATAAAAGCTAAAGTGTTGAAAAAAGACAGGTAACGAAAAAACGTTTAATGGGAGGACTGCAGACTAGCAAAAAGTTTGCCATTGACAAGAATCGAGCTTGTGTTTCCACGGCCACAACGTGGTGTAATGACCACTATACTACAATGGCAGATGGAATGTGAAGTATTACTAAATACTACGTCTTTAGTGTGCTTAGCCACTACGTCATCAGCGCCTATATTATAGCTGGAACT